TTTGACCAGCCGGGCGCTTAGAGCCGGGACTCTCTGTCTGAGGAGGAGGTGGCTGTCGAGTGGGCGACACCACTGGCGACGGAGTCAGATCCACCACGTTCCGAGGTGGAGGAGGAGTCGGCCTGGGAGCCGGAGACGGTAGTGAGGAAGAAGCAGCAGCAGTACCAGAAGTGCGTTGGATCAGCCGACGCCTCATCTTTTCGGCTCTATCCGCCATCTCGGGAGTCGGTTCAACCGCCTCGTCGGAGCTGGAGGAGTCGGAGTCGTATGGACATGTAAAAAGGAAAGAGAAACCATGAGGTGTTTCGAGTCGGAATATGGCAAGACAGGAAAAGGAGAAGAATGAGGGGTAACGAGGACTACCTACGGTGGCCGCACCCTCCGGTAGCAAGCCACGCTTAGCCATGGCCCGGACTCGGGACCAGTACTTGACGGAGTACGGCCCGAAGCCCTTCAAGAACTCGCCGCCCAGGACCGCATCATCGGAGGGAACGGCACGTCGAGAGCAAGGCTTGAACAGAGCGGCCGGCCACAGGGTCGGAAAAGTAAAGGAAGAAAGGGCAGGGCGGACAAAGAAATAGAGGAGCTTCCAATCCTTAATGGAATCGGACAGCCCCTCGAAAAGCTGCCGCCCCGGGCGAGCGGCGACTTGAACGAAGCCCGGCGAGTGCGAGCCAACCTTGTTTACGGTAAAAAGATACCGGAACAGGTCGAGGTCCGGCTCGCACAACCACCAGTGGCAGAGATTGATGAAGCAAGTAAGGAGTCGGTGAGAATTGGGCACTAGTTGGCCCGGAACCAAGTTATAATGGCGGTAAAAAAGGGAGAGAAAAGGACATGGAGGAACTCGGAAGCCAAAGGCAACCGAGTGTAGGTGAATACCGACACAACCCTCGGGTGGGTCGTAAATTTGTCGGCCCTCCGGGGCAAGGATTACGGCCGAGGGCCCAAGAAGGTACTGGGCCATTTCCAGATCCGCCGCAGTAACGACGGACGGCGGCCCAGAGGGACGGACTATTGGATCGAACTTGCCCCGCGGCCGTACAACGCCACCCGGCAGAGCCGCCACCATCGTTAAAGGAGCGGGGCTCAGCGGAGTAACCGCCCCCGAAGAAGAGGGGGTCGGAGGAAGAGAAGATGTCGATGGAACGTCCGAGGGAAGTTCCATACGACGGAGGGGAGACGTCGATGGAACATCCGCTGGGAGTTCCATGCGACGAGGAGGAGAAGAGGAAGACGAAGAAGGAGAAGAAGAAGAGGGAGAGGTCGCCTCGGTGTTATCAACCGAGTAACGACGGGAAGAAGAAGAACGTGAGGAAGAAGACATTACCTAAGTCAGGAAGGAAATCGGAGGAGGAACAGAGTGGCCGGAGAAGCTCGAAGTTGAAGCTGAAAAGGAAGACTGGAGAAAAGAGTGGAAAGAGAGACGAAGTGGCTATTTGAAGGGTAGGAATTTCAAAGGGCGGCCACGTGCCACCTTCTCGTTGGAGGAGCTGGAGGTGACGAGACGTGAAGGGACGCCGCATTTAATGCCTCAAAAGGCGGGGCGACGGTTCAGGTCTAGGGTTAGCCCACAGACTGCGCGTCTGCCCTAGGCTAGGGTCGAACGTCACGTGACCCGGCCTGCTAAGCTGGAAGAACGTAGAGGGCCATGGCCTCTGGGCCCACGAAATACGAACGGGAAGCTTCTTGAAGCTACCCGATAGAGCCCGGCTCGTCAAATGACACCGGACGAGCTCACAGAGAGATTCCGCTTGCAAGGTCGGCGATCGGACTCGGCGACTCCCCAGCGGGAGGACCTCTCCATAACAAGGCTAGGCGTCGGTCTCATAGATCCGAGGTCGGGCGACAAAATAATAAGAAATTGTGGGGTCGGATAGAAAAGCACACAGTTTATTTAATTAGTACGAAGATTACAAGGCCCAGAACTCGGCCGGTGCAAACTACAAGAGAAAACAGAGTCATGGCTTGGCTTCCTTCTCTGTCGACGAGCGGGCAGCCGGAGGACCCTCTAGAAAGTACTGGGGGCGGAATGGTAGAGGACTCGGCTCGGGCTCTGGCATCTCGTCCAGATACACGGTCGGCTTCCCATCGTCAATCATTTGCAGAGGCCTCTCCAGAGCACTCGGCGACATGGCAACGCCGAAAAGCGGAGGAACCTCCCATACCTCTTCCTCCTTGGGAGCAGGATTTCCGACCTCTGGTCCGGGATCCTCCACCACAGGCTCCATCTCCACATCGATAGGCTCCCTACACATCAGGTCCAGCATGTCCGGAGGCACCACGATGGGGTCTGAAGCCGAGTCGCCCACCAGACGACCTCCGTTAGCCTGCCCCTTCTGCCTCAACTGCTCCAGTCGAGCATGCTCCTCGTTGCGAACGGACCAGCGGCGATCACCATCCCTGTAACTCATACCGCCGTGCTTTCGCAAAGTGAAGAGTGTTGCGATTGGCATCAACTGTGAAGGGTCTTTATATAGCCCAGGAAAGGCGAATATCTAGGCGATAATCACGGAGGAGACTGACATAACTGAGCCGGATTGGACGGATGACGAGAATCTTTGTCAGATATTAGTTCCATCAGATCCGCCCGGGAAGAGCAAGATTCGCACGCCAACATAGAGAAGATTGGATTTACCCGAGCTATGGGGAATCTTGCAGGTGTCAGACTGAAAAGAACCTGATGATGTGACCGACTCCTTGACCAGTCGTCCGGAGGGGTACGCAACAAAACACGGCAAAACATAAGGCAAGACGAAAATAGCGCTTTTTATTATTATTATGGAAAAGGAGGGTACAAGCAGCAAGGAGCTTATTACAAATAAGGAATATGAAAATGCTCCTAAAAAAGATTCCTCCGAGCTATGACCGACCCCGGTACATAAGGTCACTCGCCAGGCGAGGAAGAGTCGCCCCCAAAGAATCCCCCCGATGGTCCAGGGGGAGAGGGGCAGAACGAGTCCCAGAAAGCTGGCATGAGCGGTGGCGCGATGGGTTCCTCATCATCCGGATACGCCTCCAGGTAGCGGGCGTAATCCTCGTCATCCATTAGGCCCGTGACCGGCCCGTTCAGGTCGTCCAGCGGGATGGAGAAAGTCATTTTGAAAGTCAATTATTCAGGGACGGCCACCTCCACGAAGGATCCATCTTGAGAAGTCACCCTGGCGGTTGTTGGAGTCGGCGGGCGAAGCAAAGGCGGCACGACTTCTCGCTGAGGTGGGGTCGGCGGCTGAGAAGCTGAAGAGGCAGCACCAGCAGGAGATCTCCGAGGAGTCGGACGAGAAGCTTTTTTCTTGCTTTCCCTCTCAGGTCGAGTCCGCTTAGAAGGCAGCGGACGCCAAGGAGACCCGAAGTCAATTCGCTTCCCTTTCAAGGGAGAGCGACCCATGATGAACTTGTGAAGATAAGAGAGAAGGGAAGAGGCCATTTATAGGTACCAAGCCTAGACGGAAGAATCCCAACGGCTTCGCGAGATCCGGGAAGAATGGCTGACGATCCGGACGTTACAAGGGGTTATTCAGGGCACGGATACGGTAATTAAAGGAGACGAGCGGTTGCTACTTTTCCAAACCCAGGTTAGAGGACCGGGTATGGAAAAGTGAGGGACTAGTTGATGGGGTAAGGACCCCGGCCCAAGAGATAGGGGCCCAAAGAAAATAGAAGTGGGCCAGCATCGAGAGGAGCCCAAAGAGCAATCGGGCCGAGTCCAGGAGTCGGCCGAGGCCCAAGCCCAGGAAAAGACCCGGCTCGAGGAGCCGTTGAGGGTATTAAAGGGGTTCCTTTAAAAGAGAGCCGTTGAAGCATTAAAGGCAGGACCCGGTCGAGCTGTTACAAGCCTAGGAGAGCCGTTGGTCGACCGAGTAATAGCGTCCAATGGCTCCATATCTTGATTAGCCTTGAAGTCGCCCATTAAGGGCCTTCAAGTCGGCAGAGGAGGAGCCACTATATAAAGGCTCCTCCATTCTTGTAAAGGGTAGACATTTTCGGACACCCGAGAGAGGGGGGGAATAACAAAGAAATTCCGACACTAGCATTACCTCTGAGTTAGACGTACATTTTATTGAGAGGTGTATCCACCGACCAAAGGTTGTGTTGGACCTCCTTGGGCCCGAAAACCCTAAAACCATCAGTCTGCTCCCCCACCTTCGGTGTCTGGATTTTCCATGGGTGCTTGTGATAGGGATTGCCACGTAATGATGAGGTGTGCATGACCTTGCTATTTCCATATACAAATTTCTTGGGGAATAGAATAAAAAATTACCCCTTTTTATGCCCATCACCATGGTGCTACGTAGCATTATGTGTGCAGACCCAAGACTTTCATATATTATGAAATAATCTTCATCAGTGCACTAACTCCATGCTATTTGTGAGGATGACTTCGACTTGCCACATTATAACTTTTCACAACTTCCATAATTTGGACTTTTAGAATTCCCTTGTAAGATATGTACTCAAACATAGAAGAATGCCACGTACGAATGTAGATTAATGCCCTTACTGGACAATGCCAACATATGGCAATTGTAGGAAAAATTTAGAGAGGATTCATATAGACTTCATGGGTATAATCTCATCATTCTTTACTGTGCAGGTTATTGACTATGGGAGCCAATTCAAAACTCATGACCGTAATCGGTGTGCTCAACTTTCTTGTTACAGTGGTAGGGGCACACGACCCTTGATCATTCTTTAACACGGGAGACACCCCGACTGAAATATATATTGTCGAGTCTTCAAGCCTTATTTGATATCACATTATTTATCCACTTCCACATAAGCAAAGCCTTTCACATGATCAAGAGTAAAGGCAGAGAATAAAATAATCGTGACCACGGTGTTTACCGTTAAAGTTGTGGTGGGGGAACCATTTATTCGGCGTCCCGACTTCTTGATTCCCCCGGCCGAGTCCCTCAGTGTGATGGATCGGCCCTTCTCTCGCTAACAACTTTGAGTACTTTAATTTAAATACTTCATCTAATTTAGATGATAATGGTTACCTCTCGTCGACCCCGACACGAAATTTTCTTTGCTTGATTTTCTTCTAGTCCTCTTCTTGGTCCACGGATCTCCGTGAACCTTCTCAATCTTCCGTCCGTAGTGACCGGACGCTCTCCGAAATTGCTCAGACAAAGAGGCAAACGCGACCTTTTGTCACGATCCCCACAGACGGCGCCAGTGATGGTTTTTGGGTTTTCGGGCCCAAGGAGGTCCCACACAACCTTTAGTTGGAGGATACACCTTTCGATAAAGTTTGCTAAAATAATATGGGCTCGATGATTTTGACGTGGAAACCTAAAGGAAAACCACGGGCCTTTTTGGGCGGTGCCAAGCCTAATTCCACTATGCGTTTTGTAGATGTCTTTTGTACATACTTGTAGGGCTATTCTCTATACAAAGTGTTGATTTTCTAATAATATAGTGGGAATAATAGATATGAGAGTGGTAGAATGGTGTGGAAGAGTCCTTCCATGTGTGTAGAGTGAGTGGTAGAATGGTGTGGAAGAGTCCTTCCATGTGTGTAGAGTGAGTGGTCTTCTTGGGAGAGTCCTCCCATGTGTGAATAACGTGATTGGAATCTTCTTGAGAGAGTGTTTGTGGAAGAGTGCTATGTGGCCTCCTCGTATGTAAGAATGGTACTTGGAAGAGTCCCCCCACATGTGGATGGGTGAATGGATGGCCTCCTCTTCTTCTTCTCTTCCCCTCCTTTTATAGCTAGCCCATCCCAAAAGTGTCCGTTGGACCATTTAGTAGGGTAGTTAATAGGTATTAACTTGGTTATTAGTGGGGTAATAAGTGGGAGACTTAATAGGTAGCCTTTATTTGGGGGTTATGGATGAGGTAGATAAATAGGGTAGTAAATAGGACTTTAAGGGTAGATAATTAGGAGTTTAATAGGGGCTAACGGCTAGTTTTAGGCCGACCTTCTACCCGTGCCGATCCCACACTCGCGCCGGCTCCCGGGTCGAGCCGACTCCTCGGTTTGGCTCGTATCTCTTTTGGGCTTGCTCCATTTTCTTCTTGGGCTTCCCTTCTTTGTCTGGGCTTTATCTCTTTTCTTCTTGGGCCCCGAGCCCACGGGGTTCACACCCCATCATAGGGCTTTCAGATTCTAATTAATCTATTTGACATTTTGACTATTTAGGATTTTAGTAATTATATATTTAATATTTAATATTTAATATATTATATATATATTCCAAAATTCGGTTAACCGACACTTTCGAACCGAATTAACCGTTAACCGAATTTTGGGAAAACCTTTAACCATTAACCGAACTGAAATATTTCGGTTCGAAAACGGTTAATCGAATTTCGTCGGTTCGGTCGGTTAACCGAAAGTTCTCTGAAATTTGCACACCCCTAAATATCAAAGTACGAGGACGTTATGCCACATCTATCTAACTATAGATGCACAGGCTAGAGTCTAAACCAAAAACCATCATTAGATAACAATATAACAATTCATAAGTCTAGGCTCACAACCACAAAACTAAAACTATAGAAAGGCAAGCTACGCTATCTCGGTCCACATCTACCGCGCTCTCTCGATCTACTCAAAACCTGTAAAACATAAGGAATAGCACCTGTCAGCGAATAAAGCTGGTAACCCACCATTACGCGTTGAGTAACATATAATATAGGTATAGAGAAAAGCATTTGAGACTTTGGAGTACAATATATAATCCTTTTAAAAACGAGGAAGGACAACATAAGACTCATCATGAAGTCACTCTCAATCAAAGACCAATCCCAACCAATTACTCAGTAATCAAAAAGAACGACAGAAGCAACATGCTTAACAACAAGATACATCATAAGATAATCAATCGAGAGACAATCATAAGTCACACTCATAAACCATGAGAGACAAGATTCACAATCAAAGATGAGTACCAAGTTCCAACTTTATGCTTTGTTCCAACCATTCTCTCCAGTCCAACCTTATTACAGTTCCAACTGTTACCTCCTAGTGCCACCCTGTACACCAAGTCCAACCTTATTCCTCCGGAGCAATCCGCCCCCCGCCTACATCCGCCAGCTTTTACCGCCAAACAGGGACACTCGTAGTGTCAATAGTCATGTAGAATAGTACGAATCACGCGATAGTCTATCTCCTTTCATTATTGTCCACCAATCATATAACATTACATAGTCCTCATCATAGAGGATTGAGGCTCATCAATAGCCCAATCAAGTATCAATAAACATGTACAACATATATACAAGATTACATCACGAAATACAACCGATAAATTTTAATGAAAGGCATGAATAGACCATCAAACAACGATACATCAACGATAGACTTTAATCCAAAGACTACCATGATTGGCAACACAAGTTGCCAATCCTCATTAAGAACAAACGAACAACACATACTAGCATCAACAACATTAGGACTAGCATGTACATCAAAAGGAGAAACATAACGGTTCATCCGAACCTCAATGACTTCACTTAAATCCAACGAATCACAAGGTTGGACCATAAGCACGATTCAAGACCCATAATCCTATCATGGATACTTAGGACACCGTTCTAGACATACGAAACATCAAAGGAGACACACAAGTGCACAACGACTCAACAAAACGGAGACCAAAGCATCACGTACCAGTGGGCGGAACGGTGGGTGGACAACCTCCCGCCGCCCCTACTTACAGGTACCAGCGGGTGGAACCACGGGTGGACCTCCACCCGCGGCACCGCCCGCCGGTCACCACTCTACCTCCCGCGGGTGGAACGGCGGGTGGACAGCCACCCGCTGTTCCGCCCGCAGGTAAACATACCCAGGGGAGAAATTCCCTTCGAGGAAAAACATCAACAAGGCCATGCTCAAGTCCAAAATACCCAAAACCTCACATTCAACAAGGAAATGACTTAAACACATGAATAGCTCAAAAGATAGCATTTAAGAACTCTAGATACAAGCTCTAACATGCATAAACACAAGATTATGCATCAAATCTCACAAGAACATCAAGAACATTAAATAGAGTATCAAGAATCATCATAGAAAATGTAAAGTAGGTTTTGTAAAGCATGAGTTACCTTTGTAGACCAAGATACACTTCCTTTTTATCCCCTAGACTTCTCCTTGAAGTTCCTCCTCAACCAAATCTTCTCAACACAACCAAGCATGCAAAGAAAAACCACAACTTAGATAAAGACTAGGTAAAGCTAACCAAAAAACCAATTAGGCTAAGATCTTACCCTTCCTAGTGCTTTGATGGAGGAAAGGAGGAATCTTGGAGAGTTTTCTTGCAAGGATTAAGGTGCATCTTACTTGGCTTGGAGAGTAAGCTAGGCCTTTTTAGAGAGAAGGTAGAGTGTTTAGTGTTTTCCTTGCCAAAGTAGGAAATGAAGTGTGGTCTTGTTAGGGTGAAGCTTGAATGCCAAGTAAGGGTGAAAAGGCTAAAATGCCCTTACTTTCTCAAAAAGGCTAGGAAGACCTCAAAAGCTAGGTACAACTGATAAAGCTCAAGGTCTTTTCATTTGACTAAATCAATTGACCAAGGAATTGGTCAATTTAAGTCCTCCGACTTTATAATTAAGAAATTGGAAGGGGAAATTCACAAGGAAGGTTTAGAATTAATTACATAATTAATTCTATTTAAGAATTGGATTTTCGGGGTGTCACAACCAGTCCTAAGAGGAATAGTTATTGAAGAATACTAGTTCTAAGGGGATTTGTTGTTGAAGATTTTATAATTCTAGTTTGATTAAGAATAGCTTTGTTATTCACGAATCTGTTAGGAGTAGCTACTATAAATAGGGGTTGTTATTTATTGCAGAACTCACGCATTCAACAATAATCTTGTGAGGTCTGAGAGTCTGTGAGAATAGGATACTAAATTCCCCTAGAAATTAGTAGAGCTGTCGAAACGTGCCCGTCCCGCCGAAGCCCGCCATATGGCGGGGGCGGGCTAAAAAGCGTGCCAAAATACGGGCATAATGGAGGCTGCCCCGCCTTAAGCCCGCGGCCTTTGGCAAGGGCCCGCCAAATTTTAAATATTTTAACTTTAAATAAAAATTAAAATAAAATGATAATAAGTGTATACTAAAATAATACTAATACACTAATTATATATGCAAAGTGTAAACAAAAACTAAATATATTAAAATAATACTAATACACTAATTATATATGCTAATTCACTAATTATAGTAAATTAATACACTAATTATTTATACTAATTCACTAATTACAGTAAACTAATACACTAATTTAGTAATTTATATATGTAAACATACGGTAAAACAAAACTAAAGACTAAAAAAGTACTAATACACTAATTATAGTTAACTATACACTATATATATATATATATACATATATATATATATATATATATATATATAAAACTTGGCGGGCCCCTGCTGGCCCGCCAAAGCCCGCGGGTTAGGCGGGGGCGGGCTAAAAAGCCCGCCAAAATACAGGCCTAAAATATTAAAGCCCGCCCCATCCTTTTCGCGGGGCGGGGCGAGCTAACCCGACGTGCTAAGCCCGTTTTGACGGCTCTAGAAAGTAGTACATGTGTTTATGTTTCAATAGTTTGGTAGGAAAGATCACTCTATTGTGTAATCTCAGGTTACAAACAGTGTACTTTAAATATTGAGCTTTTAGTGGATTTAGGCAAATTCTCAAATTGAGAAGTGCCTCGCAGATTAGGGTTGTTTGCCCGAACTGCGTTACAGATTGCTTGTATTACAACTTCAATTTCGACATCACTGTGTGCTGCGTTCTACAAATTTCAAGTTCAATTCTTACCAACATTCTCTCAATCGAGTTCGTCTCTTTTGAGTATTATACAGGATATTTAATTTGACAATTAAACAAATTTACTAAGATAGAAATTCATATTTACTAACCCAAAATTAGTCCCGACAGCCAGTTAGGAGGCAAATTATGGTCCACACAATGTTATGTGGACCACAACAAAAAGTACATTTTTAATATACTAAATGTACATTATTTTTGTATTATATGTACATTATAGAATATAA